CTTCTTTTTCTTTTTTTTTTTTTTTTTTTTTTTTTTTTTTTGAGAGGTTTTGCTATTGGGTGTGTGTGCTCACCAGAAAGTCAGAAAGCAAGAAATCATCCCCGCCCCCAAGGGGATATGGCCACACCACAATCCCTTCTCCTCTATCCTCCTCTCAGAATCTTGGGCATGCACGCACACATGCCCAGTGTGAGTTTAAGCCACCGGGTCCAGGACTCAAACCATGGTTGACCACATGGGAGTCCAGAGACATAGCCATTACGCCAGCTGCTGGTCCCAACACCAGTGTGTTTTTCAAGTCACAGGATCCAGGACTCAAATTGCACAAATGGCCATGCGGGATCCAGCTGCCTTATCCTCCAAACCCGCTCGAGCATCCAGAGTTTTAGAATCATTGCTTAAGACTTGGTCACGGAGTCCTGAACAATCCAGCTGGTATCTTAGAACTGTTTCTGGATCTCAGACTACTACGTCAAAAATGATCAGTGCCACCATGTCCTGAAGCCACCCACCCAGCCTTCCTTCCCATGCAGAAATCCCATGTGCAGCTCCGAGTGGTGGTCCCCAGTTCCAGGATGAGCCAGAGACGTGCATGGGCTCGCATCCTCTGGGGACAGGCCCCTCCCTCCTTGCAGGGCCGAGCTCTCCGTCAGCACTAGAGGAAGGCCATCCTGGGGAGCTCCTGCCCCGTCCTCCTCTCCCCTGCTGGCATGGACAAGTGTTCTCTGGAACAAGTAAAACTCAGCTTCTGTCTGTACCTGGAGGGCCAGCCTGGGGCCTGGTGAGGGGGAGCCTTTACCATCTTGTCACCCTCAGGGTGGCCCTCGAGCTGCTCCCAGGAGCCCTGTGATGCAGTCGCAGGGATCAGGCTGGCCTTTCTCTGACGCCTCTCCAGGGTTCCCGGGAAGGGGTGCCACCTGCATGGGGCAGGGGGAGGAGGAGGAGGAAGCTGAGTCTGGCAGAGATGTGTGCTGGACAAACCTGTCTCTGCCCAGCGTTTGTCTCCTGAAGGAACAGGGAGCGGACTTATGTTGGCTACTTATAACACAGCAGAATCGTTACACAGACAGGCTTCCCAGGCAGGCCTGGGGATGGGGAGAGAAGCAAACCCTACGTGTAAGGAATCTCTCTCTTCCTCCCCCTGACACTGCCTTTCCAGCCGCACCTCCTTTTCCCCTTCCTCACAGGGCAATGTGCTACCCAGCATGCCTACCTCCATGCCCTCGCTCAGGCCGGGCCTGCTGCCAGGTAAGCCCTCCCCACCCAGTTCAGAGCCTGTCCATCATAACGAGCAGACCCTGTGCAGAGCTAGGCTGACTCCCCGCCACCGATGCCCTGGCCTCCTGCCTTAGTACGTGCACCATCCGCAGAGCTCTTGAAAATGATCGCTGCCTCCTGCTCCCTAATTATCTGTTCTGAGACCGCCCCGCCTGCCAGCTGGACTTCTGAGCATTTGGCCAAGTTTCCCTGAAGCCCACAGTGTCGTGGGTCTGTATTGGGTGAGGGGGACACCAGGTTCCCCAGGTCTGTGTCCACTAGAGGAGTCGCCCTGTAGAAGACTCGTATCCCTTGCACTGGCCCTAGCACCAAGCCTGTTTACTTGTCAGTCAAAAAGCTGGTTAAAGTCAAGAAGGGTGGAAAGAAAGAACGAATCAGAGCCTCGGAAACCACACAACTGCAGAGTCGCTTCTGAGCTGGGTCTGTGTTCTGCCTCTGAATAATAATTAGCCTCTTCTTAATTTACAGAAAAAAATTAAGTTACTAAAAAAAAGTCTCAATTATGTACTTTTCACTCACAAATGTTTCTTAAACCTCTGCTGTTTGCATATTTCTGTACCAGATCTAGTATAAGAAGACTTCGGATTTAGCACAGGATACTAATTTGATCACTGTTATTAACATCTTTTGCCTTCGGTGTTCTGCAGAGAACAGCAATTTCCTCGCTTCTGGGCAAGTCTGAGAACCTGGGGGCTAAACTCTTTTTTTTTTTTTTTTTTTCTCTTCAAATGTCGAGATTTCCTTTCGAGCATCCAAGAAAACTGGTCTTGCTCAAATGCTGAGGAGGAACATCTCAGAAGTCATCGGGCCCATCTTGAAGGTTCATGCCAAGTACGTGATTCAAAGCCTCTCATCCCACCATTTGCCATTCACTCCTTTGGCTGAAACATCACTTTCTCTAGAATTCTCTCTTAAAATAGAAATCTTCGCTGGAGTTGGGAGCCCATTAAACTCCCCAATTGGTGGCCAAGGAAATTTACCTGGTTCTAGAGAGGGAGTAAATCAGAGGCGGCCGATAGGCTGGCCTGTGTGGTTGAAACCCAACTCTACCACTTACTCAAATGAACAAGTTTCTTCACATCGCTGCACCTCAGTTTCCACGTTCATAAAACGGGGCTAAGAATGGCCCAAGCTCCTGGGCTATGGAATGAGCTAATATGTATAAAGCCCTCAGACAAGACCCGGCACACTGTATTAAAGCAGAAACAGCTCTGTTCATGGTCTCAGGCTTTTTTCCCTTTTTGGAGAGGTTTTTAATATAGGGTACGTGCACTCACCAGAAAGACAGAGAGAGACAGAAAGCAAGAAATCACCCCCTAGGGGGGATAGCCACGCAATCCCTTCTCCTCCATTCTCCTCTCAGGATCTTGGGCACGCACGCACACGCGCCCAGCATGAGTTTAAGCCACCGGGTCCAGGACTCGAACCATGAGTCGACTACATGGGAGTCCAGCGACATAGCCATTATGCCAACTGCTGGTCCCAGTCTCAGGTTTTTTTTGTCCATAAAATGGGCTCCGGATTCCTGTTTCTCCTGCTTTTTTCATAAACTGAAAAGTGCTGCCCTGTGGGAACAGTGGGCATTATTCTAGAACTCCATGAGCTACTCTCTCGGCAGCTGACTCCAACCCCTTTCTTCTCCACCCCTTCAGTTTTCTTTACCTGGAAGAAGGTACCAGTGGCTGGAAGCGGGGCTCCTGTCCACGGAGGCAGTGATGTCAATCCACGGGAGAACTGTGAGGACAAGGGACAAACACCGCGAGACCATTCATCAGTGCCTCTGCCTTACACCCTCCCACCTGAACCTAGTAGGCCCCCACCTTGTGCTGAGTGGGGTCACGGGTCGTACTCAGTCTCTGTCTCAGGAAGCTGTGAAGCTGGTGGGTGAGCCCCAAGGAACATAAGCTCTCACCTGGCCACAGAAGCCAGCACTTACAAACCAGCCCCCACCCAAACCTGGACAGACTGCTCCCCAAACCACCTGGTACCCCTCCAGGACTCTGGAGACAGGATCCCAGGCCCAGCCACCCTGGGCAGAGGCCCTTTCCCACTGCTCAGGGACCTGCTTCTCCGAAGGGGCTGCCAAAGCAGCTGTTCTGAGCAGCCGCCTAGGCAGGGCCAGTGGGCTGGAGGTGGGACCTAGGGCACTACAATTATATGCCTGACTTCTGACTCACGCACTGCCTCCCCCATCACCAGCGCCTGTAGCCAGCAGGGCGGCCCCTTGCCCAGGCACTGGGGGAGAGACAGGACTGATGGGCCACAGGAGTAGGGAAGAGAAGGGAGCCGAAGGAGGGAGGGAGGGAGGGAGGGTAGGGAGGAAAGGGGACTTCAGGTCAGCGCAATAGGCTGTCACCACCTCACCTACCAGGAGATGCTTAGACTGCAGGGCCATGGGCCTGGCTATGGCACCTGAGGCAGAGGCAGAGTGGGACCAGGCCTCCTGGTATCTTGCAGTCAGAGTAGCCAGGGCTCAGGTGGGTGCCTAGCCAGGGCCTGTACCCCTACAAAGACTCTCACAGCCCAGGTGGACCTGGGGCCACACACACTCCACCAGGAAACACACAGCCACGACTCAGCATGGGACCTGAGGAGAGAGCTGGCTCAGACACGGCTTGGAAATACCACTGGCTACTGAGGGATGGACCTCGGCGCAGCCCAGGCCCGTCTCTGCACCTCTAGCCCCAGGTTTCACTCAGTGCCAGGATGCATTGTACTTTACAGTTTATAACATGTACTCGTTTTTTTCTCTCTCATAATGACCCCGAGGCCTGAGTGAGGGAGGAGATATACACAGGCCAAGGCTTTGCAAACTCTGCTGTATACACGAATCACCAGGGGATCATGAGCAAATGCAGTCTGACTCAAGCTGGGGCCTGACGGTCTGCATTTCTGACAGACTCCCAGGTGACACTGATGCTGCAGGTCTGTGGATCACAATTCGAGTAGCAAGGACATATTGATTAAGAGCATGGGAGCTGGGGTCAAACCACCCAAGTTAGAATCTTGGCTTGCTGTGTGACTTTAGGCAAGTCACTTAACCTCTCTGTGCCTCGATCTCCTTATGTATGAAACAATAATAAGAAAACTTACCCTGTAGGGTTGATGGGGGGATTAAATTAGTTGGCATGTATAAAACACTTACAGTGACTTATTATTTCATTTTAGAACCGAGGCTTTGAGAGGTGGACACACCCAGCGAGGTGGCAGAGCCAGAATTCAAACTCAAATCTTTGACGTAAGGCTGGCAATACCAAGCTATGCAAAGACCAGTCATCAAGCCTTCCCCCATCAGACAGACATGGAAACTGAGGCCCAGAGAGAGGCAGAGAACCAGCACAGTTGCCAGAAAGTTGATGCCAGGTCAAGTCCATGACCCTGGCCCAGCCCTCTCTCCTGCACCTTGTTGTCCTGTCAAGAAGAGAAAATGGGGGCCAGCAGATGGTGTAATGATTACTTCGCTGGACTTCCATGTGGTCGACCACATTTCGAGTCCCTGACCCGGCGTCTTTAAACTCATGTTGAGCATGTGTGCGTGAGTGCTCCAAATCCTGAGAGGAGAATGGAGGAAAAGGGATTTCAGCGTGGACATCCCCCCGGGGGGTGATTTCTCATTTTCTGTCTCTCTGCCTCTCTGGCAAGTGCACACACTCTATAGCAAAAATCCTCTAAAAAAAAAGAGAGAAAATGACACAAGCTCTCCCGGTGGCATCTCAGCTGCAACTGTCAACCCCACCTGGACCAGCAGCCACCCTGGAAACCAGGGTTGGCTGAATGCAGAGGCCACCCATTCTTGCCCAGGCCTCTCCAGAACCCCTGCCGCCAGGCTGGGGGAGGCAGAGACTGGGAGGAGGCTGATATCTTCCTTTCTTGCCTCCTGCTTAGTCTCCGGGTCCCAGCTGGGGTGGCAGGCAGAGAGTGACATGCTGGGCCTGGCTCCACCCCCACCTTGGCTTCTCAGCATGGGGCCAGTGGCAACCTGTGAGTTATTCAAAGGAAGTGCTCAACCCCAAACAGGAAGTGGCTCTTCAAGCAGAAATGCCCTGCAGGATCTCCCTGCTGGTGGGGTGGCTGGGTAGATGAGGCTGATGAAGAAGGGAGGCCGGCTGGGACCAGTCACATTTATCCAGATTTGACCTGAAATACGGCCCTGCCCCTCTGCCTTGTGACGCCTGATCCAGGGACGTTTCCGCTGTGGGCCCTCCTCTGAGCCTCCTTTCCCTCGTCTGCACAGTCACGGGCTGCTATGGCTTGGCCCCTGACCATTGGAGCAAGTGAACGTAGGAAACGAACGCATCACGAGTGAGACAAGTGAATGAATTAAGATACGCGGATCTACACTGCGGCTGTGGCACAAGTTCTATCATTTGTCTACAGCCCACGGTACGAGAGAGATCTCATTCGCAAGAAGGCTCATCTCTGGACTGCCCTTAGGAAAAAAGGGCCACCAGCCTGTGTCCCACACATCACAAACACCTGCGTGCAAATGTACCTGCAGGAGCTGTGTCATGTGACATCCATGTGACCTGTGCTTCTAAACATTGCCTCTCACTCAGGCCCTGCAAAACTCATTTCCATTTCTTGGGGCCAGCAGGTGGCGTAGTAGTGAAGATGCTGGATTCTTATGTGGTTGACTGTGGTTTGAGTCCTGGACTTGGAAGCTTGAAACTCATGCCAGGTATGAGTGTGTGTGCATAAAATCCCGAGAGGAGAATGGAGGAGGAGGGATTGCAGTGTGGCCATCCCCCCAGGAGATGATTTCTCACTTTCTGTTTCTGTCTCTCCAGCAAGCACAATATACCCTATAGCAAAAAAAAAAAAAAAAAGAGAGAAAAAGAAAAAGAAAACTCTTCTCCATTCTTGAACTTGAAAAACAAAAGGTGGCTCTGTTTAGATGTGGTCAAGATCTGTGGTTGGGTTGCTGCTGAGAGGAGGTGAACACCAACCACTTGGGGGATGGGTGGTTCCAGGCGGGGGCTAGGTGGCCAGCAGGGGAGAGAAGAATGAATCCGTCAAACTCTCTCAGACACCAGTGTGCATGGCTTCCTGCATAACTGAGTATCAGTCTCCCAGTAATCCGGTCTCACACCCTTCCCCCCCTTGACATTTCTTCCCGTCCCAGTTCATGGTGTAAGAGTACTCGTGAATTGCTGTAGGATTCGTGAAAAATGCACTTGGTGGCCAAGGAACATCTTATGCTGTTCAATAACTCACATTACTCAAATAAATGGAAACGACTCATTTGGGACTAGATGGACACGAGAATTGTGAATAGCTCCAGTTTTATAAAATTCACAAGAATCTGAATTCATAGTTCATCTCTATTTAAATAATCTTATGTAAAAATCTGACATGTGTTCGTTGTGATGTGTGGTTTTCATTTTAATAAATAGTTTTATGGATTAAAACCAATTTTCCTGTGCTTATGTTTATTTCAGTTGACATTTCCGAGGGACATGAATTCAATTCTGCATACGTTGAACATGGTTGCATTTTACTTTACTTTATTTCTTTATTTTAGAGACAGGGTCCTGCCAAAGACCTGCCAGATTGCCCCGTGTTGCCTCGAACTTGAGATCCTCCTGCCTTGGCCTCCAGAGTTGCTGGGGTGACAGAGGTATGCCACTGTGCCCAGTTTATTCTCATTTTATTATTTTTAAAAGAATGATTTAATTTTATTTATTATTATTGTTATTTTTAATTTGCTATAGGGTACATGTGCTCACCAGAGAGAGAAAGACAGACAGACAGAAAGTGAGATATCAAGCCACCTGGCCTGGGACTCAAACTGTGGTTAGTCATATGGGAGTTGAGCATCTTAACAACCACGCCACCTGCTAGCCCTGCCCAGCTTATTATTGTTAATTTTTCTAGAGAGATTTTTATTATAGGGCATGTGCACTTGCCAGAGAGAAAAAGAGAGAGAGACAGGAAGCGAGAAATCACCCCCCAGGGTGGATGGCCATTCCACAATCTCTTTTTCTCCAGTCTATTTTCAGGATTTGGGGTATGCATGCACACGCACTTGGTGTGAGTTTTAAGTCACAAGGTCCAGGACTTAAACCTCAGTTGACTACGTGGGAGTCCAGCAACATAACCATTACACCATCTGCTGGTCCCTGCCTGGTTTATTTTTAATCCTTTAGATCATTGCCATCAATAGAACATGAATGATATGGCCATCTTGCTTATTACAAGATTTTCTGTGTCCTAATTAATCATCTTGCTAAAATGAAGATAACAAAGTGCATTTATTTTTTTGGAGATGTTTTTGCTATAGGGTGTGTGCGCTCCCCAGAAAGACAGGCAGAGAGACAGAAAGCGAGAAATCACTCCCCAGGGGGAATGACCACACCACAATCCCTTCTCCTCCATTTTCCTCTTGGGATCTTGGGCATGCATGTACACGTGCCCAGCTTGAGTTTAAGCCAAGTCCAGGACTTGAACTGCGTTTGACTACATGGGAATTCAGCGACATAGCCCGTTGCCAACTCCTGGTCCCATCGAAATGCATTTTATGAGATAAATAATAATGAGTTACGTCTCACTCCTTATCCAAACACCAGCCCTCCCACACCACATCCAGACATGCCTTGTATCCATGCCAGTCATATGAAACTAGAACCTTACACACGCCTTCTCACTGACGTCATGGAGGCATGTTGGTCGAGGTGAGGAACTCAAACCTAGTTCCGTAACAGTCTCCTGCCTTGCTTTAGAACCTCTGAGCACCT